CCCACCTGGTCAGGGTGGATTAATTTCGGTAGGAGTAGTTGGATCCGGTTGGCTAGGGTTTTGGTGATTATTTTAGTGTCTACGTTGAGTAGAGAGATGGGTCTAAAGTGGCCTGGGTCGAGGTGTGTTTTGTCCGGTTTTGGAATGAGGCAGATGTTTGTTCTGAGCATTTCCTTTGGGAGTGGGTTTCCTTGAAGGAGTGAGTTCCCTAAAGCTGTGAGGTATGGTATTAGTGTGTTTGCGTATGTCTTATAATAGAGGCCTGTGAATCCATCCGGTCCAGGGCTTTTGTTGGGTTTAATGGTTTTTAGTGTGTTCGCTATTTCCTCCGTTGTGATAGGGGCAGACAGTCTTTCTATCTCTGTGTTCGTTAGTGATGGGAGAGGAGTGTTCCGGAGGTATGTCTCGATGTTGTGTGTTAGGGTTGGCGATGGATCAGGATTGTGATTATAAAGTGTTGTTAAGTATCGGGAGAAAATCCTCGCTATACGATCCGGGCTTTCGTGTGTGCTTCCTCCCGGGGAGTTTATTTTGGTAATGCGTTTATTGTGTGTTTTTGGCGTAGTTTACGGGCTAAGAGGGTGTCTGCCTTGTTTGATTTTTTTGTAAAAGAGCTGTTTGCTCCATTGGAGGGCTCTTTGTGAATCTTTGGCCATGTAGGATTTAATGGCTTGTTGGTGAGTTTTGATCTGTGTTAAAAGTGGTGGGGTTGGGTTTTGTTTGTGTTGAATCTCCAGGGCCCTCAGCGAGAGGAGGTGGTCCTTCAGTTCCTGCAATTTTTGCTTTTTGTGTTTTGTGGCCTCCGCTATCAATTTGCCTCTTATGGTTGCTTTGTGTGCTGCCCACAATATGCCTGTGGATTCTACTGAGTCCTTGTTTAATTGGAAGTACTCTGAGTGTCGTTTGGGTGGACGCCCTTATTTCAGGGATGTGTAGGAGTGTTGGGTTTAATCGCCATGACCATGTTCTAGCTGTTTGTGGGATTGAGAGTGTTAGGGTTATCTCTGCGTGGTCGGACCACGTGATCGTGCCTATAGATGTTGTAATGTCTTGGGTTAGGAGGGAAGGGGATATCAGGAACATATCAATCCTAGAGTATGAGAGATGAGGGTGGGAATAAAAAGTGAAGTCAAGAGTTGTGGGGTTTTGCATTCATCAGATATCTTGGAGACCTGAGTGGAGTACAAAGTTCGAGAGTAGTTTGTCTATTTTGGTTGCTGGGGTAGTTTTGCAAGTACGTGTGGGTTGTCATTGTCAGTCTGTTTGGGGGTCGATGACCGCGTTAAAGTCCCCCCCTGTGATCATGTGGTGGGAGGGGAACAGTTTGAGGTGGGCTTGGATGGTTGTCCAGAAGGATGGGTCTGGGTTGTTGGGGGCCTATAGTGTAGCGATCGCGTATTTGTGAGTGCCTTGCTGTCCTGTTATAGTGAGGTATCTGCCCTGAGGGTCAGCTGTGGTGTTTGTGAAGCTGATGGGGCATGTGTTCCGGATGAGTATTGCCACTCCATTATGTTTTCCGGTTGGGGAGTTTGCTAAGTGGCATTCTTTGTAGTGTCTGTTTTTAAGTGGGAATGGTCTCGAGGTCTCAAAGTGTGTTTCTTGGAGGAGTATTATGTCCGCTCCCGTTCTATTGGCCCATCGCATCAGCTGGTGGCGTTTAGCCAGGTTGTTTAGGCCTTTGCTGTTGAGTGAGATGCATTTCATTGTTTTCATATTAGTTGGGGGTGTGGGTCTTTTTAGTTATTTAGATTGCGGAGGACCCGGGGTTTCTCGCCCTTTAGGGTGAGTGGTTCCATCTGGTAAGTATTTTGTACGAGTTTTCTTGAACTCTGTGTTTTTTGTATCAGGGTAATGCTTTTGTCCCAGTCTGCTTCCGTCATGGTTTCCTCAAGGTCTTCCTCCAATTTTCTGATGCACGGTGGTGCTAGTAGGTATCTGCTCGTGATTAAGATAGTATATATTTGTGAGATGGCTTGCGGTGGTTCCTTGTCTTGCGTGCATAGATTTTCAAATTGTGTTGGTTCTCTCATTATGGATGGTTGTTGCGGGATGGATCTAGCGTATTGGGTAATTTGTGCTCTTGCTAGGGTGTGTACAAATGTGTGTGGTCTGCCTGGGTAGAGGTCATCTAGTGGTCGGATGTCGAAAGGCGGAGGAGGACATCTTTTATGCGGGGTATTATTTTGTGTCCCGCTGGGCCTGGCGCGGGGCCATAGTTCCCTGCCGGGAAGTCTGGGTTTCCTTTTAGGGGCAGGAGCGGACCTGGGTCTGTTGTCAGGTATTGTTTCGTGTCTTGCCCGTGCCAAACTTGCATGGTCGCCGCCACGAATGGGTTGGTAATATGTTTGCTCCTGTACGCTGCCCTGGAGATCCATGGTAGGGTTCTGAGGTCACATCAGGTCATGTCTGCTTCTAGTTGTGTCCACAGTTTGGTGCCGCTGGCTATCGACCAACTGACGACTCTGGCGATGTGTGCCGTGTGGTAGTATTTTTCAAAGTCGGGGAGCGCTAGGCCCCCCCTGAGCTTGGGTAGGATCAGTTGGGTGTGCGCTATGTGCGGAGATTTGCCCTTTCAGATAAAAGTGCGGACCTCCGTCTTGAGTGTCGAGAAGAACGTTTGTGGGGCTCTTATCGGTACTGTTTGAAATATGAAGAGTAGCTTCGGTAGCAGCGTCATTTTTACCGCGTTCACTCTGCCCAGCCAGGATATGTAGTAGGGGCCATGGGCGTCCACAGGGGGGGACAAGGGGGGGCACTTGCCCCCCCCTGGATTTTTCAGCTTGTTCTGGTATTTTGTGTGAGATTTAAAATGAACTGCAATGTATGGCGCTGTGTATGGAGAGAGACAGGGATAGGAAGCTGCATCTTATCCCTGCTTCTCTCTGCTGATTGAAACCGCAGGGGAACAACACATGCAGCCAGAGACAGCCTACAGATCAGGTAAGTGGGGGATGGGGGGGAGGGTTTGAGAGGGGGCAGCAGCCTATAGATTTTGGGGGGGCAGCA